GCAGCACTTGCTTCCCCAGAGGGTACTGGAAAAATCACAGTCACGCCTGATCCAAGGCTACAGCTCTGCCCCAGCATCAGTCTGCTCAGGGATCAAACCCCCTGGGGCTCACTTTTGCCCCAACACAGCAACTGCAGTGACTGACTGTTCCTCAAGTTGATCAGCAAGTGGCTCGGATTAAATATAACTCCCCAGAGGCAGCGGGGCAGCGAGCGGCTGGGAGCAGCAGGACACCTTTAAGTCAGCTTTGCCTGCAGAAGTCAGCACCTTGTGGGACTGTGACTACAGAGTTTACGCCCCAGGTCAAGTCGCACGAGAAGCAAGGAAGGATGAGGCTGCAATAAGGGATGGGCAGGAACCCACCAGGGCTCCATTAGCACTGACAGGGAAAGGGAGAAAGATGTGCCCCGTGTCCCACCAGCCTGTGGCAGAACGATCCACACACATTGTTTCAGTACAAGGCAGTGTAACAGAGGCGAGGAAGAGGACTGTAGAACTTACAGCCCTCCAAGTGCCCCCATTTCTGGGGCTCCAGCAGCTGCACTTTCTCACACCTCACCTATACTCACCATCTTGGCCTGTCAGTGTCCCATCTGCCAGCTGCCCCGTACCCTGCGAATGGAGGAAGGCCCCGATCTTGGCCGACCAGGCTGCCTTGTGCAGAACTTTAGCTTTCTTCGTTGGTGGCTTCCCCTACAAAAGAAGGAACATTAGGAACTGTAGTGGTACAGGAGAGAAAGCCAGTCTCTGCAACCGGCCAGCAGGGCATGCATCTCTTCCTGGGGGTGTTTTTCAGGTTACTACAACTTTTACTAATGCTCACAGGAGCAAGAAACAGCAGGTAAAATATCAACGAGTCCTTCCTCAGCTTCTAGGGAGCACTTCTCTTGGGACTCCAGGTGGGAAGAACAAGCCACTGTAACAGATCTTTAACTAGAGAGCAACAGCCCACACCTGTGTACAGGCACATCCTGCTCTGACCTCAGGAAAAAAGGAAGGATTTTGACTCACCTGCAGTCTGGCCAGGATGCTGGCCTTCTTGGAGTTTGAAGAATAGCTTCTGGAGCAGGAGACGCTGCAGAAACGTTTGGTCTTGGAGAAGAAAGCCTCCCTGGTACCCACAATCCCACACATCTCGCACACAGCTGAGAGAAAGAAGGCACAAAAACACTGAGCAGTTGGCAGGGTCGACGCACTGCAAAGACAGGGCTGAGCCCAGGCAACCCTCATTACATGTAGCAGCTCCCTCACGTCGCCCAGAAAATACAATCTCAATCCAGTGCTGCTCCCAAAGCATACTCAAAGTGCAGTCATACACCCTTCAGCTCCCCCATCCCTTGCTATTTTCATCACGCACGTGCTTTAGGTAGAGCAGGCATCACAGTACCTGGCTCAGAGCCGCTGTCCTCTGTGAGCCGGCCCGTGGACAGCTGGTGCACAGGAGAGGTTGGAAGCTCTCCAGCTTCCCGGTCTGCCACCTCATCATCACTGGACTCATCCAGACAGGAGCTGCTGTCGCTGCCCATGCTGCTGTTGTAGCCGCGGAAGCTGTCATAACCCCCAAAGATGTCCAATTCATCATCTTCCTCATCGTCATCGCCTTCGTCCTCCATCCGCTCCAGAGATGAAGTTTTGTGGCAGAAGGTAGACACCAACTGAAAAAAGAGCCAGTCTGCTTTAACATAGACATTTTACACCATACCCCACAATAAATCTGCCTTCACCTCCGGGGGGACCTTTTGAACCAGAGAGAGGCCTCAGGGTGAGCAATGAGTCCACGTAACAACTCCAAAAGTAAGAGTCTGAATCCCTAGCAGGGAAGCTATTACCCCCAAAACAGGTCCCTTTAGAGGTATTTCACAGGCTGCATTCTGCATCGCAAGGGGAAACAAACAGCCACAGAGCTGCAGCTGCATAGAAAAAAGTATTAGGAACACAGAAAGAATACAGGGAACTACACCGCCACACTGATGAAGACAGAGAAGACCGCATCTTTCCAGGCACTGTCTCTCACAACGCAGCAGTGCAGACACCATCGACATTAAAGTCGCCACAAACTTCCAGCACAGAGCACAAACCTGGCCACCATAGCTCACAGGAGCAGTACAGCCTGGATATTAGCAGGACAAACTCCACACTGGAGAAAGGTCATGTTCTTTGAAAACTGCAGTCCATAGCTGACCTCCGTTCAGAAGCTGCATCAGGAGGACAACAGAACAATGTTTGTTAAGATTTTGCCTACAACCAGACGTCTCCACAACTAAACATCTTCACTAGCTCTTTGTACTTGCTGTTACAAGAGAGGCAGCGGTTGAAGAAAGAGCACAGAAATCCAGTGATTGTTTCTCAGACTAGGAGAATCTTGAACCACGTGCTAAATAAGCACAAAAGAAGCTGGGAAAAGGCGATAGCAACTCATGAAAGAGGAGCAAGGAGTCAGCATCAGCACAGGGAGTGATGGAACAGAAAGGTAGACTGGAACAGCCACACAAGGCACCAGGATACAACTGTTCATCCAAACAGGCAACAACAAAAGATCAGCAGCAAGTCCACCACCTTCCAGTGATAAATTCCCTCTGATCCCTGGCTCCTGGGTATTATTATAGACACATGAACAGGAAAATCAGACATCACTCACTGCTGCCTCACCACATCCTCCCTGGCTTTCACACAAAACAGACCCAAGGTAGCCAGGTTGTTCCCTGAAGACAGAGTTGTTCTCCTGCAGATCCACATCCTCAGACAGAACTCCTGACGTCTGAATGCCTGAACTCCTCCAAAGAAAAGCACATTCACCTCTTTCTTATCCTTATCTGAGGGGGGGAGGGGGGGGTCACACCTTCCTTCAGCTCGTAGGAAGCAAGTATCTCTGGATCATCGCTCCTCCACCAAGCGCGAACGAAACTTGCGGACACGTTACAAATTCCCAGGGCCAGCAAGCAAGGACAGCACCACTCGCAGCTTGCTCGGAGCAGCGAGGGGGGACGCAGCGACCCATCGCAGCCGGGTCAGACCCATCACCCCCGCCTCGGCCCCCCGACAGCGCGGTGGCGGGGCGGGCGGCCCCGGCGGGCACCCACCACCACGCGACGGGCCCGGAGGAGGCGGCCCGAAGCCCCTCGCCGCCCTCCCGGCCGCGGGCAGCCGTTACCCCGCTAACACAGCCCGCTCCTCTCACCCTCCCTCGGGGCACCGGGCGGCCCAAGCCCGCTGCCCCAAAGCTTTCCCCCAGCACCCTGCGAGCGGCTCCACGGGCTGTAGGAGCGGACGGCCCCGCTCCGGCCCGGTTTCGGCCCCGCAGGAGCCGCCGGCCCGGCCCCGCCGCTCACCTCCCCCCGGTCCTGCTCCATGGCTTCCAAGACGCCACCAAGCCCGCCTCACGCGCGAGGAGCACGTCGCCTCCCCCTCCACCCACCCAGCGGAGCCTCTGATTGGCGGGAGCCGGGAAAAGAAAGCCAAACAGCAACGAGTTTGTTCTCGTCGCTCTCCTCGCGGGGCACGACGGGAATTGTAGTTCTTTCCCCGCCACGGCGGCGGCGAGGGGCGGCCATGGCGCCCTACAGGGGTGGAGCGGAGCCCGACCCCTCCTCTCCCTTCTCGGAGCTCCGGATTAGCGCCCCCAGTCCCTGAAGGTTAGGTAAAACAACAAAACAAACCAAAAAGCCCGCACAAAACCCCAAAACTTCAGCCCCACGGGCGGAGCTGGCGCCCGGGTGCGCCCGCGCCGTCCCTTGAAACGACGTGAGCCCCGTGGCGGGAGTCACGCGTCTCAAACGTAGGCGAGGGCGCCCACGCTCTCCCGGAAGCCTCGGTAAAGCGGGCGAGGATTTGGTTTGAGATGGGAGGAATGCCTTTAGCGCGGCGGGTACCTGACGTCACACCGGCAACGCCTTTGGCAACGCCGCTGACATCACCGGCGCGTCACACCGCGTCACGGGCGGAGAAGTCGCTTCCACGCTGCCCTGCCCCGAGAAGCGCTCGGTGCATAACCCACGCGAGCCAGCGCTGCGGTTCCCCCTGCCCTCGCGTGATCAGCCTCGCACACGTCACGCATAAATAGATGCTTTATTTGGCAAAGAAATTATTACCTATGCAAAAGAGACCTTGAAGCGTGTTTTGCAATTGGTTTTTAAATTTGTATGCGTTTATAGCATAGCTGCTTCCTAATACAAACGTTTCTCTCCCTTCTGCTTTTTTTTTTTTTTTTTTTTTTCCCCCCCCCCGTGGAAAAGCAGCGTGGTCTCAGCAGTACTGGCAGCAACATCCCTCACCCCAGCTCGCTGTCAGGAACAGCCAGGACGCAAGTGTCGCTCTGTACGTGTCTGGCATTGATTCTCTCTTACACAAAAGGTATGTCCCCTGGAGTTGGTGAACTATTTCCCATTCTACCCCTTCTATTTCCTTATCACCTTCATTGTGCTGACACAGTAAAAAGAATAATAAAACAAAAAACCAAAAGCCTGTACGGAACCCTCCTACTCTGTACTGACTGTGCAGTGAGTAGCCAAACAAGCGACGTGTGAAGCACACACACCGTGGATATGGCACGGCCTCAGCTGCAGGCGAAAGTAAGGCCGCGTGGAAGAGGCTCATTCCCAAGGCTGGCCCACGTTACATCCAGACGATCCAGAGGCGCCAAGACGAGGCTCCGGCCCGTCCCTCTAAATGCAAGGGCGTGTCGCCATCCGTGTGAATGAACCATGCTGAGAATCGGGCGTAGCGATTCTAATCAGCCTAATTACAGGGGGACAGCTGTGGGGAGCTTGCAAAGCCTACTGTGTGCAGCTGGATCAGCAAACTTCTGTAGCGTCAGGGGTCCTCCAGGTCTACGTTTTCAAAAAAATCCTCCAGTGCTGTTAAGAAATGGAAAATTGCTTTTAAAGTATTTAAAGAACGTAGCTGATAATTAAATTATAAAAGCTGTCATCCCCTTGCAAAAACTGCTAGTCCACTGCATGACAGACAACAAAGCTGTTTCCAAAAAAGACACAGATACAAGATTAAAGGTTCATTAAATCTCTCTTCCTGCAGCAATCTTCCATGTAACACACTATGAGCTATTGCTGGTGTGCAGCCCCTGCTTCCTTCCCAGGGCAGAACAGGCAGCACTGCTCCCTTAGGTCACAGGCAGGCTGGCTCCAGGCTTCTTGAGAGCTTAAAAAAAAGGAGTTCTGTGTTGACACAAAATATTTTTAAAGGCAGTCCCCATCCCATGGCTGTTCACTTGCCACTGCGGTTCTAAATAAACTTTTTCAATAAATAATAGTATTTAAATAATTGAATCAAATTTAAATTAAGCAATACTGATATTCTCTTTAATGATAAAAACTTTGTTATGTAACATTAATCACAATATCTTTGTAAAGCCAGCTCCTTTCTCTAGGGATATAACAACACTGACAATCTCAAGAAATCAAACCCCAAAACTTAGATTAGACTTCACTTTTCCTGCCTCCTTCCCTACTGCTGCTCTCGGCCTGGTCTCTGTTTTGATGCCATCTGAAATAAAAATTTTAGAAAGATCATTATAAAAAAGGCTGCTGTCAGGTGAAAGCACAGATGGAGTTCAGGGTGCAATGGGAAGGATTTTACCTGCGGGACAGCAGCCAGGCTGCTTTCTCAGAGCTGGACACAGGTGCTCAACTCCAAGTTGTGCAGCTGGAGCAGTTTTTCCTACTTCAGCACCAGCTGTGTCCCTCATCACCACACCTTTCTTTAGGAGCACTGGCACACTGGCTCTTTGTGCTTTTCTCCTGGGACTGTCCCCTCACCCATGCTCTGGGGTGGGGAGCTCATGCTCCAGGACCCCAGGCTTCATAAATTCATTTGCTGCTCCTCCAGAGCCTCCTCTTTTAATGTTCTACTCTGTCATTTCAAAGTGCTCATGAAAATCCTGGCAGTCCATGGGCCTAGTTTCACTTCCAGCACCAAGTGGAAGCTATTCTGATTACAGGGCCAGCTACCAAATTCTTGAGTGCAGTGGGAAGGGGCACATGGCTTTAGTAATGCTTTTTCTCTCACTTCTTATGCTGACACTGTAAGAAAATAAAAAACATTGCAAGGGTTCCATTTAGAAGGCAGCCAACTTGAAGAAAAAATGTTTATAGACTCGTAACCCTTGGTCATACATTTACAATACTGTCTTTGAAAAAGGAAAGTAAGGTAGAACAGCTCAGCAAACCAACAAGCAAACAGAAGAAATTAAAAAATAAAACTGTACTGCTCAACTTTTTGCAGACTAATTTTACAAAGGTAACTGTGAAATGAAAAGAGGGAAATGGTCACCAGCCTGACCATGATGATAATGGAAGTACAGGATTCCCTGCACCTGGCAGTCAGTAACCCAACCATTCTTACTTGCAGACATCCCTGGCTGGGGCTGTCCCATGTTGGGCCCTTGATTCATGGGAGCCTGTGGCATGCCCGGAGCATTTGGGATCATGTTTTGCTTCTGCAGCTGCGTTCTTCATTTATCCTCCAACTCCACCTGAATCTTACAGACCTCCTCTGCTAGCAAGTGATAGTACTCATCCTGTTGGGGAGAAATACAAGTCAGGAAAGATGGTGACACACACATTTAGTAAAGGCAACAGGTCACAGTGATCCTGGCATGGAAGACAGTCTTCCTCATGCACCTTTTGGCTTGGATGGGGGTGGCTCTCCTTTGCAGGGGCTGCCAGGCAGATAGGAAGGCAAAAAGGGGCACTGCTGGCAATCATTAGGCCAACACTGGAAGTTTTTCTTCTCCTGTCTCAACACTTCTTTGGGAGAACCACAGATCCCAATGTACCCTGACTGCCAGCACACCCAAGCAGAAGCCTGAAGCTGTCTGGGTCCTAGACTGCATCCAGCAGATCCTGAACGCACCCTTCCTCAGCCTGGGACTCTCATCTGTGCTTTCACTCCTCCTCCTCCCCAGCCACTACAGGATCAAGGCAGAGATACACACGGCTGGATGACAGAGGTTGGCATCTCACCCTGCTGTTTGCCGATTCATACATATCCCCTTCCACTTTCCGAGCATATGCCACCAGATTCTCCATACGCCGATCCTTCAGTGCTGCAGGGTCAGGAGTAGGAAAGATGGCTTGGACTCTGGGAAGTTAAAAAAAAAAAAAAAAAAAAGGAAAGTCACATAAGTGATTAGGATGTCTCCAGATGGGGGCATCAGCACTAACCCCGGTGATCTTGATACCTGTGAACTAAGATTATTAGAAAATAGATATTTGCAGAATAGAATTATTAAGATCAATTTAAGCTGTTTTAACCATTGTGTTGTACAACAAATACTAATCTTTTGAGGAATAGTTAGAATAACAGTAGGATAAGGAACTCATAAATAATCTTACTTGAGACGGTTTGGCCTTGTAGTAGCAGGTGCAAAGAAACATAAAGATAAGGAAGCTGCAAATTAGCAACAAAACCAGACCAGGCCAGCCTTGGAAGACGAGATCTACGTGACCACAGGACTGAGTTTACGCAGAAGTAAGGGTCAACTGATGGGCACAGTGAAGATGACTATAAGCCTTCATCTAAAGACCACCAATGACCACCTGAAGACTCCAACAGACATGCATGAGACACATTAGCATATGCTAATGAGTTCCCAGAAAAGTTATGAATATGATAAAAATTTAATGAACATGTATGATTAAGGTAGTATAAATGCTTGTTGATCTTGTTTTCTCACACACATATTAGGAAGAGCTATCCCCTCTGTGTCCGGCACTATAATAAAGAATGCCTGCATTCTAAAACTCCAAAATTGAGTCTTAGAGAGTGAATTAATTACCACTTTCCAGTAACAATCTGAACACAAAGCAGCAAGCAAATCTTCCAACAGACTTCGGCGCTGCTACTGCTCCCGGGGGACACTGTCCCCACGTTGATGGCTTGAGCACAGAGCGGGACACTTCCAGTACAACAGCCCCAAACCAGCAGATGCAGCTCCATTAACGACCGGGAAAAGCAAAACCGCATCTTTTTGGCTCCTGCTTTCCTTTCTCACACTCCCTGACAAAACTCACTCCCCGGCCCCCCAGTTTTGGAAGCCAGGCTTCCTTCCCACCCTTTCCCAACCCTCAAAGGCAGCAGCTTACCAAACAGCAGAGTGTTTTGATATTAGCTACTCACAATTTATGAACAAAGTGGCTTCGGAGATCCTGAGTGACTTCTCCATGCCACTGCTTCTGGCTGCCCCTTGACAGCTCGGAGTCTCCTGACCCCAAGCCGAGTGTCCCGGAGCTCATGGCGACCTACGCTGCTGCAGTTTACCGAAGGAAGCAGCAGTTCCACAACGCCCACCGGAGAAACGACGAAAAAAAAAAACTCTTCAGGGCACGGAGTTTCCCGGAACGTGAGCGGCAGCCACGGCCGACGGCGCCCGGCCCTCCCCGGGGGGCGGGGCCTCTCCCTCAGGAGCTAACGGCCCGGGCGGCGCGAGCCACCGCTCAACGGGCGGCACCGCCTCTGAGGGGGCGAGCGTCCCTCAGCGTACGCAGCTGCTTGGGGGGGTTGTTTTGGTTTTGTTTTTGTTTTTTTTTCCTTTTTTTGTTGTTGTTGTTGTTTGATTGGGTTTTTTTGTTGTTGTTTGGGGGGGTTTTGTTTGTTTTTGGTTTGTTTATTTTTTTGTTCTTGTGTTTTGTTTTTTTTTTTTTTTTTTTTTTTTAAATACCCCCTGTATTGATTCGGGATCCCCAGGCAGAGTCTTAACGTTGCAAGTGCAACGCTGCCAGCGCGCTGGTTGTGTTCCCTCCAGTGAAGGCACGTCCCGCCCCACATAGGAAGCGGTAACAGCCCGCTCTGAGGTAGGAGGTTTAAACCGTTGCTGTTTTCTACATCTTTCTCATGGGCTGCGAAACTTACAGAAAACCCTTGCTGGATCATCCTTAATGTTACGTTGCTGTTCTTAGGTATTCACAGCAACTTGTCATTAAATCACACTCCGCAATAGACTTAGCGATTAAACAGTTCATGTCATGAACAAATAATCCAACCCCGGACCAAGCGTCCCAGTTAAGGGCACAGATAATAAGTTAGCGTGTCCGTTCCTGCCATTTTACTACCACTGTAGGTCTGCCAGTATATGTCAACACAGTTCTACATACAAATAATAATAAAACCCCCAAAATTCTGTCCAGATTTCAAAGAAAAGCAACTATGCCCATTTCCAAGGCTGTCCTGAAAAGGGGAGAGAAGAATTAACTGTCTGGGACATAAACTTCAGTTTTAAGTAGTTACCCCATCCCAGACCCCAAGAAATTTGGCTTTTGAGTGCTGAGCTGTGCTGCCTGTTTCAGTCCTCTGCAAGCCTGGGAAGATGTGGGGCACCACCATGTCCTGCCATGTCGCCTTCCACAACAGAAGAGGCAGCTTGGAGGACCAATAAATCCAGCTAGTACCAGAAGATGAGATGTTACATCATCTACATGGCCTGGCACATAATATGCAGTTTACCAAGGTAAAATGTACCCCTTAACTGTGACTTGGGAAAGCGTATGTAGAGGACTCTCTCTCAGTGTTTGTGGTGACACTGGGGAATTTGGCCCAGGTGACAGAAAAAAGGCTTGAAATCCTTCAGTACAAGCTCAGACTGAGAAAGTGAACAAACGGAAGAGCACCTGAGGTCTCTATTTTTAAACTCATGATTCTGGGGTTCTAACTTCTGGCGGCTCTAACCCAGCCGATGAATGTGGTTACAAGTCCTGGTAGGACAGGTGCTGTTAGACCCGGGTGACACCTCCTGCCTTGGGCTGCCCTGGCTTTCAATCAACAGGTCTGGTGAGATATCCATTCTATGGCTCCCAAACCTCTGCTCATGGGGGAGTCATTGTACTGGGAGCTCATTATAGTGCCACACTCCAATCTTCATACCTTATCGATGGAAAAAGAAGGAGGGAAAATGCCACAAAATCATCCTAGAAATAAGCCTTTTGATTTTAACTCCCCACCCTATCCCAGTGCTGGACAAAGGTTTGCTTGGGAATAATAAATCTTGTTCTCCCCTTGATTCCTTGGAGCCAACTGAACTGTGGGAGAAACAGCTATGAGCTTCTGTAATCAGAAAATGGCTGAGTCTGACGGGGAAGGAAAATGCATTAGTTTCACTCTCCTGCCACCTCCACATGCCCATGTCCCAGCAGTACAAACACATTAAAAACATCTGTAAGGCCACATGGGTGCCTGACAAGAAGCATCACAAGTACCAGAGTGTGGCGTAGAAACTTCTGTCATGGCAAAGCAATGTGTGATCCAAGGAAGAACTCAGCTTTAAAAGCATGCACTTGTTGTATTGCACATCTTATCATCACAGGGTGGATGTTGAGACCAGATTCCTGAATTCTCATTCAAAACAGACATAAGGGAACAAAGGTGCCATAGGTACGTGCTTTGAGTTACTGGGGAGCCATTTATATTCAGCTTCACTTCCCTTCCCCAACCCTCCCAGCATTTATTCCACCTCCACCCCAATCATTTTGAGAAATGGCATCTCTGCGCTGGCTGCTTTGGGGCCCCTGTCTCCTACACCAGCATCACCATCGGCAGACCACTGCCAGAAAGGCAGTGATGAAGTCCTGCTGCCCAAGCATGATCCTGCAGGACATTCATATCAGTCTCGTGCTGCTTCAATCACCGTCTTCCACCTTGTACGGGGCAGCTGAAGCAGCAGGATGTCTCCTGGTGACTCCAGATGAGCACAAGTGAGTTAGCTCATCTTGTCTTGCAGGTTGCAGAATGCCAGCTGGGCTGGGAGGTGTGTGCTGTGGCATTCAGTGGCAATGCTAAGCAAGGACAGAGACTTGTCTTGCCTGTGGGTTTGCGTGACTCAGTGTAGACCACAGACTGGAACTGTTTGGGATACCAACTTAAAAAGCCAGGCCTGATCTTTCTCTGGACAGAGATGTAATCTCCACTGCATCTGTGATCAAAGCAAATTAAATTCTTCACTTCAGCACAGTACTGATCTAGCACCACAGTGGGTAGCTAATGCCTCTGCTGCAACCTGTTGTCAGCTCTCCTTTCCCCAGAGGAACCTTTCAGGTCTTCTTAAAACAGAAAAGAAATTTTGCTGCTCCACGAACCAAGCAAACTGCATGAGTTGTAAAGACACAGGCATCCTTTTCCTCCTCCACATCCACCCTATGTGCCCCTGTAATACCTTTTCAGGCAAGACACAGCACATGATCCACAATCCAAGAGAGGAACAGTGTGGGTTACAGTCAGTGGACTACAAAAACTATGTGCAAAATACCTGTCTCAAGGATTTTCTTTAGAGAAACTTGAAGTTACCAACCTGCTGCCAGAAGAGCAGAACACATTTGCACAGGAAGAACACAGGATTCCCCAAATGCTGCTGTTGCTCTTGCTGCAATCTGAAGCAAGCACAGGAAAAGCAAATGCCTGAAGCACCTTCAGCTTAGGGAGTTGGGGTTGCTACAAGCTGAAGATGGGGCCCTGGCTTACCAGGCCTCATTTCCCAACCAAAATTTCACACCCATGTCCTGCATTCCAGCTCTTGGAAATCCTTTTTATATCAGCCCAGGGATGCCCCTACATCTGAGCCCTTGCTCCACCAGTCCCGGAGTCCCATGCTGCTGCAACTCTTCCTCCACAGGGTACGCAGCTGTACCTGCATTATTTCCCCATTTTAGAAAGGCTACAACAATAGTGTGGGGCCACGATGACAACAAAAACCAAAAGTGAAGAAGGAAACAAACCTAAGTGAAAGACTCATCGCTTTTCTGGGCAGCAGAAGCTATGCCCTTTTGGTCAGAGGAGCAGGGTTGGCAAAGAGCTTTCTTGTAATGCCACTGTAATTCCTGCTATTGCCTTGGGGACTGCGGGGGCATGGGAAGAGCAAGACACCTACTGATAAAGCTTGTGGTTGTATCCCACATAGCTCAGCACTCCCAAGATACTCCAGAGCCTGCCACCATCCAGCACACCTGGGGAAAACAACAATCTGAGCCATGCCAACTTCACCAGGAGCTATGAAGGGCTTCAAAGATGGCTATGGGAGATGGTGTCAGTAGTAATTCTTCCACCCTCCCTAAATGAACCACACTCCCTACAACAGGGAGTGTAGACTGGAGCCATGGCTGATTGCCCATCAGCTACCCACGGCACTAGTTACAGAACAGGTTTCTCTTTCAAATATCCACTGTGTGCAGGATGTTACACCATGCTGGGGAGTTACAACCAAGACCCTGTTCTAAGAGACTGCAACTAAGGCAACTCAAGTAAACCCCTGTTTTTCCCAATGAAATGCTAATGCACGCAACATGCCTGCAAGGCTGACAGAGCAGCTCAGTGGCTTTTCAGCTGTGATGCAGGCATAGGTGCTGCTGAATCCACTGCAGCTGAAACCTGTTGTGCTCTCACTCTTTCAGGGGCTGGGCTCGGATCTGTCTCAGACAGGGATATAGCATGTCATCTGTTTTGACTATCCAAGGGAGGAAATGGCTCCTTGTGCAAACTGACAGTTACCCAGGGATTGTGTTGTACAAAGGAAGCTGCTGAGAGGGTTTGTAAAAACAAACATTCCCCAGCCAGGGCAGCATATGGCCATTCTTCAAAGCTCATTTTAAGGGTAGGAGGCCTCTTCACACATTTAGGCAGAACTACCCACTCCAGACTCTCCAGAGGGGCTGGGCCAGCGTCCTTGAGTTTGGTTGGAACTGGGAGCAGCAGTCAAGGACATGGTCTGTATAAAAAGATCATCTTGGAAGCAGGAGGTGGAGTTACTTGTAGAGGAATGAAATGTGTATCAAACACTGGAAGAAGCACTGAAAGAGGAAGCAGAAGCTGGAATGGCTGTCACTGTCACATCGTTTACCTCAGCCTCGTTGTGGTGCTGCCACTGTCCGTAAGACGTCACAAGCTCTGCGTTATGTGAGTAACTTGGGCCCCGTCAGGCTTTGTTTGGACTTTTCTTGCCCTGCCAGGAGCTGTTCTGTAGCTCGTTCTGCCGTTCCAACAATTGTCTAATGACCAGGTGACTGTTCTTATTCTCTCTCTCTCTCCCCTCTCTTTGTTTTAGTTTTTGTACAGTTATCTGGTGTGACACTTACTGCATATATATTATTATAACTAATAGAGAGCAGGTACTAAAGAGAAGCCCGTGTAACTGTTGGGCATAGAGTGCAGCTCCCAGAGAGCAACTAACAGACTCAGGGATTTGCACAGTGGGGTGTACACAGGGGTCAGGGTCCTCACACTCAGCAATGGTGGTGATGTGCCACGAGGCATGGTCTCCCACAGGCACTGGAACAGTTCTCCCTGTAACATCAGAGCCTCTACCCAGACTGAGCTCTCCTATGGGAGGATATGACTTTGCAAGTCTTGTGCTGCAGGGAATGTTTGAGGCTTCTTGCTGTTGCTGAGGCAGAACAGGATTTTCTTGGAGAC